GGACCGCGCCACGCCGCGCCACGCCGCCCGTCGCCAAATATTGCCTCCATCAAGGACGGCGCATTGCTAAGCAGCGCGTTCGCTGACCGCTGCCGCCAGACCCACTTCCCCCAAAAGGACACTGTGACAAGAAAGTACACCATGTCGGCGTCGGTGCACCAACGGTGGCGTTTCGAAAATCGACTTTGACCGTCTGAGATTGTCCATGAAAATTGGATGGCATGGAAGCAACCCTTGACTGTCGATAGTTCGAGAATGGTTGAATTGTTTTAGAGCAGCGGGCTCTTGGTGGTTCAAGCTATGATGACTCTTGAAGGTCAAATTATTTTTCAGGCTCTTGGTAAAGTAATGAATTTCCCGCCGAAATATAATCTCACAAAAACATATGAATAAAGATGCGCTCTTTCTTAATCGATTTTATCTGCATTCAATGCTACCCAAGTGCTACACCATGAAAAGAATCGACCTCAGTTGTTATTTTTGCAACCATAACCCACCTCGACCCACCCCCTTACATTTGCGCGTGCTTTCCAAGCCTTTTGGCTGCAGAGGGTCCCCTCCTCCCCCCACCATTTTCGTTTTATTTTTATTTCCCTTCGCCTTCTTTCCCCTTTCTTGCAACCCTGCTCGCACCTCGTATTTAATCGTTGATAGAGCCTTTGTGTTTGCTCGTGTGTGTGTGTGTGCGTGCGTGCTTCTTTTATTATTTGGTCCACAAGCCCCACCGATCTCGGTGGTCCGTGGTCGCCCCTGCCCCTGCTTCAGATCTCCTCTGTGCGTCGCTCTTTTGGCGGCGTGGTTTTTGTTTTCACCATTTCATATCCTCATGTTGGTGAGCCCCCCCCCCCCCCCCGGACCTTCGTTTTGCTCAGGTGTGCACCTCGCTCCGTGTGATCGTTGGCAAAACTCACACTGGCTTTATCAGCTTAAGGATCTGAACATCTTAACATGTTAACATATTAACAAATGCATTTTGCATTATATTTGATAGTATGACTATGATTTTACATTTGAATGTCTTTATATTCGGTAAAATGCCGACCAAAACACCAGGGATCGCTACAACGACCGACAGAATCATGAGTAATGGTTTCCTTAAAAGTTGTGTTAAGATCCCGCGTTTCGCGCGAAACTGTTCCGGTCAGCACTTTTTACCAATTTAAACACATTCATAACTAAAAATCATGGCCAAAGTGTTAAATACAATGATGCATCTGTTAATATGTTAAGATGTTAAGATCCTTAAACTGATGAAACCACTGTTAAAAAAGCCGTGGGTAAATTTCACAGCAAGTCATGGTAGGAGCCCAGCTGCACAAAGTCATGGTGATTTGCACTGTATATTTACAATGAATGCACTGAAAATCCAACAGAGTGCTTAACACTGTTTATGTTTAATCAGTGTGCCCCGGGAATTGGCAAGAAATCGTTTCGAATTAGCTTGAATTCGTTTCGTAATTTATACGAATTGTTCTGAACTCATCTGAATTGGTCTGAATTCGTTCGTATTGATTTGAATTCGTAAGGAATTTCTTGAACTTTGAGTCAGTAGTAAACGCAAAAATTCGGAGTTGTTAACCCGTCGTGTACCAGATGCAGACGTGCGGGCGAGTTTGCTCATGATGGATGCATCGTTGCTGACCACGCCGCGAGGGGGCCGCCACTCCTGAAATCATGTGTACGCCCTCCCTGAAATCCTCCCGAAATCATTTGAAATCCACCTGCAATCATGAAATCATGCGTAATCTGCCAGCAAATTTTAGTCTGAAATCCTTAGAAGGTCGTGTAAAAACCGCCGGAATCACGTAAAATCCGCCGGAATCTTGTGAAATCCGCCGAAATCCGGTAAAATCCGCTGAAATCATCGGTAATCCTTCAAATCAGACATAATCTGCCGGCAGGTTTTAGCGTGAAATCTTCTAAAATAATTTGCGAAATCCGTGAAATCATGTAAAATCACGCAATCTTTGCAATCATGTGTACATCCAAAGAGAGAGTGGTGGCCCCCTCGCCACGCCGCGTGATGGTCATGGCTCCGGTCGAATAGGCAACCCGGCTACACCACATTGCTCACTCCAGAAGTGGTCCATGGTCTGAACCAGAGGCGTACATTAACCGCACATTTCAGCGAAATCCACGAAAACGTTGCTGGTGCTGAGTTTAAAATCAAACAAAATATATAAATTATTATACACGCAAGTTGCCCCGTCCTCTGGAGCATGTAGGCAGATCCCGCCACAGCACGCCCTCGAGGGTGAATGCGGGATGCGGGGTCACCGATCATCCCCGTAAAGAAGAAGCTGCTATACAGGCCGGGAACGAGCCAGTTCCCAGTTCGCTATGCCGAGCCACCTGCCGTCACGTCACTTAGGGAGTGCAGCGGTGGCGTGGCAGTTGAGGGAAGCTGCGAACCCGTGTGGCCAAGTGCTCGAGGGAAAACCGGGGATGTCTGAAATGGCCGCAGCACTGCATGCGGTCAAGACGCTCTCTGGACATTCTGTTAAATCCCTTCCCTTCGTACCGCTGGCCTCGCAGAGGGCCCCCCGGATTCTTTCACGGGCCGGCCGGCAGAACTCTTGCCTTGCGCAGCGGGTATTTTCATTCAGCCATTCACTCGAGCGAAGAGGAGTGAATCGGCGGTTCCGCACACCATTTAGCTGCCGCGCCGCGCACGGCCGCATCGCCAATGAATGATGAACAGACGATGATGACGACTATTTCATTTATTATTATTATTATTTTGAATCGAATCGCGTCGGGTCCTAACCGTTCATCGACCGCCATCTCGCGCACCACCCCGCATGTTGCCGAAGTCAACTACCCTGCCCTGCGCACACCTCCTAAATAAATGTCCTGAGTTACGTTTCAAAGTTATTTTGAATAGTTTGTTTCGCATCCCGGCATTCCACTTTCCACTTAATTATTGGTTTTACTTGGCCTTTTGGAATGGGGGGGTTGGGGGTGGGGGTGGGTCCCTCTAGAGGAAGTTAAAGACTATCGTGAATGTCCTCAGCTCCGGGCCGTCTTTGGCGACTCGGTCGGATGAGTGTCTGCTGCTCGCGCATGCGGGTGGTGGCGGCCCTGGTGGCCCTGGCGGCCCTGGCGGCCCCCGGGAGCAGTGTGAGCACACCCACCACCTTCCAGCGTAACTCAACGTAACGCTTTCACTTGCTCACGTTTCCAATTGGCTAGGCTTTAAACGCCCCGATGCACCGGGCAGAGTCGGGGAGCGAGGGCCAGCCCACATGGCACCGGGCAGGATGTGCGCGCCGCGCCCCGCCCCGCGACAAGGCACTGCTCGGCAGGCAGACCCGCGCCCTGCACCGCCCTGCGCCGCTACCCGCAGAAGGGTCAGAGGGGAGGTCGGCGGGGCGGTCGCTGTAACGAGGCAGCCCGGCGGCAGCCCCAGCCCCTCTTAGTCATGTAACTGCGCGCCCGACGCTGCACTGCTCCGGAGCGCTCTGGAGAAACCAATGTGACCCCACCGTGGTGCTCAATGGGGTGGACGGCCGCAGCGCCGGTGCGGGTTTGCACTGGGCGCTCGGAGCCAGCACAGCGTAGGGATTTTAATTTTCCGGATAAGTATTTTTGGGAAATTTTTCCAGATCATTTTTAAAAATCTCCCAATAGTTTTTCCGAGACGTTTTATTCTTCACCCCAATTTTCCTTAATATATTTCGAATTTTCCCAATTCATCCGGAAAATTTTTGGATTTAATCCCTAGTATCCTTTTTGACGCAGATAACAAAGTCTCAAAAATTAAGTGCAAACCCCGACAGCGACCCAGCACCAAAAGTATAAATCTTTTCCACTGCGTATTCCCTGTGTGCCTCACTGTTTCTGCTTCATCCCTGCCTGTAACTCTCCGCCCAATGAGGTTTGATCCGCAAAGCTCCAGGGCGTTTTTGCCGCGAGGGGCGCTAGTGCGCTGCCTCGCTATGAGAAATAAAGGAGAACGCCAAGCGTCGATACCGGGTCGAGCTGGAGCGTCGGTGTTTACAAACAAGTTCTAATTTCGTATTTTTAAAGAATATATATTATTAAGCAATATGCCGGGTGTTCCTGAAGAATGGGAGAAATTGTCAAGAAATCAGCTGCAAGAGGAGTGCACGCGCAGGGGGCTCAAGAAGAGTGGGAATAAAACTGTACTGTTAGAAATGTGAGTATGATCGTGGGAGCACATTCCCGCCCATCTTTCTTATGAAACGTTTAAAATTATTAAGTTGTGTCAAGAGATAAATTCATAAGAGGGGTGATGAAAAAAATTCCAGTAACACTTGGTTATGTCTTAGTTAGCGCTTGGTTATTTCAGTGTGTTAACTTAAGTGAAAACTCTCAACCTAACCTCTCGCAACATGGTCTTTGTTGATCAATATTCTTATGTGTTGTCTTTTTTCAGGCTCTGCCGTCACGAAGCAAGTTTAAATATTGACCCTGGTGAACTAGACCCTGCTGCTGTGAGAGTACCCGAGGTTGGAGAGAAGGGGGAACTCCTCAGGATACAGTATGGTGCGCTTACCACCGTCGTGATAAAGTCCATGCTGGTAGCAAGAGGAGCCAAGACCACGGGCAAGAAAGCTGAATTGGTGGGCAGGCTGGTTGATTATGAATTAAACGATGACTTCAGGGTTGGGGGAGAAGAAGTAGTTTTAGCTGACCCACTTTTGGTGCCAGATTTGAAGCTATTCAAAGACATCCATGCTGACTCTCCTCTACCGGAGTTCAGTAAGGAAGATATCACCCTGTATTTAGCACAGTACAATAAGACAATAAGTAAAGCAGCTGCCATGTATAGTGAAGGTTACCTGCAGTTTGTTCGATTCTGCAATCAATCTGATGTCACCTTCATCCATGGCAAAACCTGGGCGGAAATGAGTAAGGCCTCTCAATATGTATCATATATAAAAATTTCCCGTGATGGGGAAGTATTAGGCTGCACCTGTGAGTGTACTCATGGCAGCGCCTCTGGAGAAGCTCACTGTAAGCATGTGTCAGTTGTTATGCTTGGTGTTCAGGACTGGAAAAAGAATGGAGTTGTCATCACTGAGCAGACCTGCACACAACAGCTTCAGACCTTCCACCATCCCAGAAAACAGTTCAGAGGTACCCCTGTGAGAGCCAAAGACATGGGTTCAAAAAGATTGAAAACCAACCACCCTTCTGTTGTTGCTACTCTACCTGCTGTTTGTGAGGAGTCTACTGAAGAGATAAATGATGAAACCGGAGAGGAAAGTAATGAGAAAAAGACTGAGGAGGGTACAGTTGTTACTCCTGAAACTCGTCCAATGACCATTTCAGAATATCGAACATACTTTAGGAATTTAATTATTAATGGTGGCTACAATATGACCATGCCCCTTAAGCACCTCTATATGCCTGCCAATCCCTATGCTGTATGTGCTGATCATGACTATGCTAAATATACTGCAGAAGATATAGTCCTTATGCACCTCAAACTAACTAGTGTGACAACTGAGGAGGTGAAGGATATTGCCAAAAAGACTGTACAGCAAAGTTTCTCCGCCGAATGGTATAAGGTAAGGCTTCCCCGCCTGACAGCGAGTAAGTTTTATGAAGTTCTCCATTGCCAAGATCCGGTGAAGAAAGCTGAAGCCATCATACAGTTAGTGAGATTTTACTCTAGGGCTACAAACCATGGTATTAAACATGAGAAGAAGGTTATAGATATGTACAAGCTGGAGAACCCCACTGCTAAGGTGACTAGAACGGGATTTAATATTATGGAATCTCACCCCTATATTGGTGCTACTCCTGATTTTTTGATTGATGATGATGGCATTGGAGAGGTCAAGTGTCCGTACACAACAAGGAACCACCCTGTTGGTCCACAATACCAACCATATCTTAGGTATGCAAAGGATAAAATTACTGTGAAATTGAAGAAAAACCATGCTTATTATTACCAAGTTCAAGGACAGTTAATGGTGACTGGGCGAATGTACTGTGATTTCATTGTTTACACTTATAAGGATATTAAAACTATAAGGATTTTAAGGAAGGAAAATTTCATGGCTTTGATGTTGTTAGACTTGACAGTCTATTTTCAGAAATACTACAAAAAGGCTGTCTTGAACAAATACTTTCATCATGATTATGAAAAGCACTGGCCCCTGATTAAGTTCATGCATGAATTTTAATATTAACTTGACTGATGTACATTGTTTTTAATACTTTGTTAAAGATGCACGATTATGCTTTGAGATGCCAAGAACGGCTGTAATGAATTTTATTAGTACAAAATCGTACCTGATCACTGTCTGTTGACTGATTGTTAAAGATAATTTTAAGTTTCTTAGTATTAAAAATGGACTGACACAAGTTATACATTGTGATATGTTGGGTGCTTGTTGACCATTTGAATAATTATAAATATTACTTTTCAATTATACAGTGTATTTATTTCTTTTAAACACTTCATAATACCAGGTTGCTTGCACCACAATTATTTTGATGGTACAAATAAGTCTCTAGCTCATCTCCTTCCTGTGGCACTGTGGACGCAAGTTGTAAAATTACAATTTGTAATCATAAAAATACAATTATTTGGATATCAAAAATTAAGTCTCTAGCTCATCTCCTTCCTGTGGCACTGTGGATGCAAGTTGTAAAATTACAATTTGTAATCGTAAAAGTACATGCAGTATGTGTTGACTTCTAATCCCTTGGCGAGTAAAAAATGTGCTGTCGTAAATTTACAACTTAAATTATAATTCGAGTTTACAAAATTTTTGTAAACTTACGACGATATTTTTCACAGTGCCCTGGAAAATTTTCCTGCACCTGGTGCAACATCTTTTCCCACAGACAGACAGACAGACAGACAGACAAACACACACACACACACACACACACGGTCGTGTATGTCATGCCTCACTACTGACAATATTATTCTTAAAATTAGTGAGCATGACACACACAAAGAATATTTCCGATCCTATGCTGACATGAGAGTGTTGCAGCTTTGTCTGCAAAATTTTGTAGGTTTTGGTGTGACCAATCAAACGTTCAATGTGAACTCTTTTACTGGCCAGCTTTCTATCCTTCATAATGACACTGTTAGGGAGGTGGTCCTTGCCTTTCAAAAAATGTGGAATATTAATGGAAACTGACTGAGGTGCGAAAAGGTCCTGAACATTAAACCCTCTGTCAGCCATTATAGAGTCACCTTTCTGACACAAGCGTAACAGTTCACTTCTTTCAGTAATTTGTCTGTCACTGACAGACCCACCATAACATTCAGTAACATATGAGATCAAACCTGATGGGGTCCCTCCAACCATTGCCTTCAACGTGTTGCCATTTTTGTAAGTGCTGAAAGAAGCCTGCTGCGCCCAGGGATTTATGGGTTTCTCTATTGGAAATTCTGTTCCATCAACTATGACCCTAGTAGAGGGGTACTGCTTCTTAAATCCTGAAGGCATGTAATAGTCAACCAATTGCCTACTGGGCCACAGGTTCAGTTTGCCCCATTGGTCAGCCATAAATTTAATAAAAGAATAGAAAATATTTGACACAGTTGTGTGACCAATACCAAAATGTATTCCCAGCTCTATATCAGTTGTGGCTTTACGAAGTTTCCATAGAGTCAAAAACAGTTGATCCTCATGGCTTACATTATAGACTTTACTGTTTCTGTACTCAATATGTTGAAGCCCAGGGACTAAGGACTGATAAATTAAAGTAAATAACTTATAGGAACTAATGCCAGTCAAATCATTGAGCTGTTCTGGCTTAAACATTAAATCCCTTATAGTGTAAGGAGCCACATTGAACATCGTTTGAGTTTGAACATCATGCATCCTCGTATAATCAGGTCCACACGCAACATCAACTTTCCCAGAATTTTCTTCAGTAATCGTATCAGTAATTATCTCAACACTTCCACATTCCACCTCAACAGCATCTTCACAAATTAGTTCTTCAACTCCAAGATCAGATTCCTGTCGTTCCAACAATGTATCCTCTGCTGACACAGTCCTTGACAGTGGCTCGTCAGAGCTGTCCTCAAGCCTACTTTTCTTGGTAGGAGTCCTATAGTCCACCTCGCGAGATGGCACAACTCCTCTCCTCAGTTTCTTTCGAGTAAGAATTACACCTGCAAAATAAGATAGAGAGGTGGAGAAGGGGTGAAACATTTTGTTCAGCAATCTTCTACCAGACTCAGACAAAGGGTTGCTAAGGTTAGGTACACGATAAGATGAGCAGTAGGCACTGAAGATTTACCTGTGTAAGCGCCTTCAGTGATGAAGTCGCTTGGGTTGAAATGCTTCTCACATATGCCAGCTTGGGAATTTGGTTCGAAATCGGGACGATTAATAGCGACCAACCACTTCTTACGGAGTTGTTTATTGGATGGAAAAGTAAATCGTGAATTCTCCTGACAGTGAAGAACCGAGCACTTCCGCACCATTTTTGAACCACGGACTTTAATCTCACGAAATAGAGTGTGAATTACAATGAGCCCTCAGATAATACTCAGGCTAACTACTGCTAACAAAGCGATGTGACGCGAGGGACGCGAGCGAGACGCAATGTGGCGGTTAGGTACGCTGTGTAACTGTCTGCTACTGTCAAAGCTGTCTGCTAGACTCAACGTTGCACTTTACTTCTCATAGCAGCCCGAGCGAGGTAGCGCACCAGCGAACCTAGCGGTCGAGTTTGGCGTAGGATCAAACCCCATAGGGACAGAGCAGCGAGCCTCGGCATCAGCTCGGCTCGGCCACGCGAAGTTCAGGATCGTGCCGAGCCCTGCCCACCGCCGCGCCAGCCCGCGTCCTGCAGCGGGTCACCCCGGAGCCCGGGCCGGCCGGGGGTCAACGCGGCACAGGTCTGGGCTGGGCAGAGGGAACGGGGTCAGCAGAGAAACACAATAGCGTTCAAAAACACAAGTCGAGTTGTTTTTCTGCTCGGCACGGACTTCCACGCGCCCCTCCCCCCCCCACACACACACACTCACTCAGCAGACGTATCAGCGTTCACTCTCTCACGGGGGGCGGCGGTGCGGCGGGCGAAAGAGATACGGCCTAACGACACGCAGAAATCAAAAGTGAGAAAAGAAATTCCTTATTTCTAGAGCGAGGGGTTCAAAAGTATGGGCACACTTCTTTTTCTGCTGCTGCTGCTGATGCTGCTGCCGAGGTACTCCGGACGACCTGGAAAGAAGCCTGGTGCGGCTGCGTGTACGTGTATGTATGTGTGAGCGTGGCTGTGTGTGTGAGAGTATGTTTGTGAGTGTGTGATAGAAGAGGCTGGACAGGCCCACGCCACGCCGCGGGCGCTGTGCCGCGGCCGCCGCTGTCCGAGTCCGAATCGCCAATAACCTACTTCGCGCCC